TTAGATTTGAGTTTTTGTGTTGTTCACCACTGGGCCACCGTAGCCTTGGCTAATTTGACCATGCTGCAATGAAAGTCAATGGGATTTTTTTGTTTTTAATATTAATTTTTAAGAAATCTGAAAGTCGAATCAGTCTAAAAAGATAGCACACTAGTCAAAACAGTCTGAAGGTCTGACCCGAGATAGATAGATAGATAGATAGATAGATAGATAGATAGATAGATAGATAGATAGATAGATAGATAGATAGATAGATAGATAGATAGATAGATAGATAGATAGATAGATAGATAGATAGATAGATAGATAGATAGATAGATAGATAGATAGATAGACAGATAGATAGATAGATAGATAGATAGATAGATTTTCTCACTCTGTTCATTATTTGGCAAGCAGTTCAACACTGACTGGGTTCAGAAGCATTTAATGTCTTTCTTTAACATCTGTTGAGAGTTTTGAAGAGACAACACAAGCTGAGGCTAACCAAGCTCATGAATATATGCAGGAGAACATGCTGTGTCTCCAAAAGGCCTTGTCTCAGACCACTATCCAACCTGTGATGTCCGAGCTGCTGACGGGCACTTGAGATTCCACCCATGTCACTCCAGAAAAGACGGGCCATTCGCCCACTATTCTGCAAAGTCTTCAAGGCTAAAACCCTCAGCACGTTGTTACCCATAATGTGAATATTCAGGGTTATGGATTTGCCGTCCAACCCGTATGGCTTGCTTAACATTCGAGGGAATATAAGTAGAAACGCAACCTAGCATCTCCAGAGCTTTCTGGATATAAATAAAAATGAGGATGGAAAGGGCAACTATCAAGCAATTTGTTCCATCTTCACCTGTGAATTAAAGTCACGAATATTTTGGTGTCTACAGTAACATGAACAATAGAGGTAACCTTGTACAACTATTTCCGTTCTGCAATGCTGATTTTCTCCGGTTAAAACTCTCTTGCTGTATGCTCCTACACAGGGTCAAGTTACCACTTAGAGTAGATGCCCCTGTTGCTCTTTACATCCTGTTTACATGAAAGACTTGTGCGCCTCTGGCAGCCGTCTAAAAAAACAATCGCATATGATTTGCATGTATTGGCACATAAGCAGACGCTGAGATGAAAAAAAAAAAACAAAAAAAGAAGCTGTGCTGCATGGGAATAGAGCTTGGGGATGAGAAGAGAAAAAACAGCAGCAATGCATGCTGGGAGATCCATTCTTCGGTCAGAGTCGCTTTCGTAACGCTTTCGTCCTTCTTTGTTAAAGCAGTGAAGCGTTTGAGTGACGTCCCCCCAGCTTCTCAATCTGCCAACATTTCCCAATTGCGGCAAACCCTCACTGTGACATATGGAGCTACAATAAAATCTCATCTAAGTGTTGATTGCAATGCGCCATAAACTCTCAGATCAGGCTGTAAGCACAGCTCAGTAACAGCCCCTGTTTGACATTTTTAACTCGCTCTTCTCCCACAGCTGGAAAACAACACAGATGTCTTAGGAGCTTTCGCGACCACAAAGCCATGAACAGACAGAAGATCTCTAAAACTTCTTTGGCCAGAAACAAGCAAATGCTGACGTGAATGCGGAAAATATGCAAATCTAGTTTTTAACTGAAAATGTAGTCCTGCATGAACATGCACATATCGTATGTGCTATACGTATATATATAGCTGCCCTAAAATAAAATATATATATATATATATATATATATATATATATTAGGGCTGTGCAAAAGTTAATTGTGATTAATCGCATCCAAAATAAAAGTCTGTGTTTACATAATATATTTGTGTGTGCTGTATATAATTATTTTGTATATATAAATACACAGACATGCATGTATATATTTAAGAATTATTTGCGCTTAAATTCTGTATATATTTATAAATACATAATCTATATTATATAAATATAAATATTTTATATATTAATAACATATTTTCTTAAATATATACATGCATGTGTGTGTATTTATATATACAAAATAATTATATACAGAACACACAAATATATTATGTAAACACAGACTTTTATTTTGGATGCGATTAATCGCAATTAACTTTTGCACAGCCCTAATATATATATATATATATATATATATATTAGGGCTGTCAAACGATTAGGAATTCCCAAACATTAAGAGAAATGTATCCTTAAACATCGACATCTGGGAACACGTGAGAAGATTTGGTCTCAAACACTGCTGCCATAGCAGCCACCCTGGTGACCATAGCTTCTGGCCATCACAAAAATGTCACATGTTTTGTACTATTAAAGAAAGAATCATTGTTTATACTCAAACTAAGATGAAGTGAGGCTTTTGTGTGAAATAGAACAAGCGTACATTTTGCTATTTGTGAGTTGTGTTTGTGAACGTAGAACTAGCGTGTTTGTGCACAGGACGTACTGTTGGCTCCGTTCTCCGGCTCTCGGTAGGCGAACTGCAGTTGGGTATCAAGTGTCCTGAATCCTTCCCGCAGAGAGTGATGTTTGTAATACTCGATCAGCTCCTGCATTAAACACACACATACGCTCAACGTGATGTCAGTTCACATAAAAGGGGAAATATCCACAGCCATTAAAAGGGAAAATAAAAAAAATGAATATATGAACGGATTCAATATGACTCCAGCATTCACAATCCAATAATGTTATTTAACTGGCATTTGCGAGATCGAATCTAAAAGCGCTTTCAAAAAAAAAAAGCTGACAAAAGACATTTGATTTTTCTACAGAATAGAGACATTAAGCAGCATGATTTCCTAATGCCCTTTAGAAGGCAAACAGATGACAAAACAAAAGGGATTGTATAAATGATACAAAGAGATTTCAAATGTAATAAGGTTGTATAACGCAAACATTTATCTTTATTGCACTGATTCCACTGACCTTAAAAACATATGAGCATAACATTTACTTTTCACTCTATATGATAAAGACGCTTTAATAATACTCTTCGCTGAAAACCAGTACAAAACATTAGCACGTACCAAAATGCTTCTGAACTTCCTGTTTTCTGCAATGTAGAAGAGTCCCTCCTTTGTTAAGATCTTGATGTGTTTCACGTCGTTGTTATACCTGTGGGCCATGAATAAATGATGAGAGTAATTTTCTGGTGATCATTGCGATCGATGCTGCCTATCCCCTATGGGAAGCTGCCATAGTAATGCATGGGGCAAAGAGCTTTTCATGCAGGGAGAAGGGGTCGATAGCGAGGGGTGGGGCGTCTCCATTAGTCCTTGGATTTAAAGTTACGAGCTCACTTTTTTTTTTAGAGCGAAAGTGCACAGGACTGTCTGCAAACAAGAAACACTGATAAAATGGGGCAGTTTATGTCTTTCGGCCTTGCACTAAAACACACACATCGTTGGAGTGTGTGAAAAAAAAAATGTATTTAAAAAAAAAAAATGTTTTATATATTGTTGTAGGTTACGGAGCCCCGCATATGACATGCAGACAAAAAACAAAAAACAAATGTGGCCATGAATTAAGAATTTGTTTCCACAATCTATTAATTGGTTTCGCTCGTTTTAGTAAATCGTGGCCATATTGAAGTAATTAGTTCACTCAGTTTTGTTAAACCATGGCCACGAATTAAGAATTCGTTCCCATGATTTATTAATTTGTTCCCTCGTTTTAGTCAATCGTGGTTCGTGGCCACGTTGAACTAACTAATATAAATATTTTTTCCCGGACTCTGTTGTATGGGAGCTTGTTTCGGCCACTGAATCAAAAATAAAAAAGGTAATTGCGACTTTATCACACAATTCAAATTTCGCCCACAATTGCATGATATGAAGTCGCAATCGTGTGTTATACAGTCAGAATTGCCGGATATAAACTCGCAATTCTGAGAAATAAAGTCAGAATTTCCAGATACACTTTATATCTTGTAATTCTGATTTTATTTCCTTGCAAATTCTGAAAAGTAAACTTCCAATTGTGAAGAAAAAAAAGTCAGAATTGTGAGATAAAAACTTATTTTAAAACACAAGCTTCCATACCGTAATAGGTGGAATATTGCAGTTATGAAACTTTTGTTTTGTTTTTGAGATACTTTTTTACAGTAAAATAACTAAGTGTGCTGTTGTAACTCACTTGATGCTGATGGCGTACTCGTGAAACTCTCGGCTTCTGTGACGGACCAGGTACGTGCTGCTCCTCCGGTTGAGCAGCGCAGCCTCAGCCTGCACCCTCTCAATTGAGCCTGCAAACCTAAACCAAAGGTCAGAGGTCAGAGTTGAGGGTTAGGGTTAGCAAAAAGTTAACAAGGTAATATTGAGGAAAATAAGTCACATCAATAAACAATTGTATTTACTCTTTTTCAGTAAATGAAAAGTTAGAGGGGGAATAGAATTACGAAAATTACAGGAAATTAAATGTGAAAACAAAATTATGGTACTATAAAATGTCATTATGCAAAAATGTTATTTTATAGTAAAATTTATGGCAATATATAATATGGATATTTTTTTATTCGCAGTATTTGTAATGTAGTTTGTAAAATATTCTAATTATAATAATTAATAAAAAGTACTAAATTATTTATATAATAATGAGATGTCAGAAAATTTTAAAACATAATGATAAATAAAAGTTAAAAAATTAAATGGTTATATTCTGGTACAAAATTACTGGTAGTAAGAAAAAAGATCATACCAAGGCTGGGAAGAGTAGTCAATAGGTTTGGGTACCTAAAAACGATAAAGAGATAAAAAAAAAAAAAAGGAGGTGAGAAAGAAAAAAGTGGAGCACACGTGTGCTTTTGTTCTTGAAATTCCACACAACCTGATTTTCATACAGTATTTTTAACTTGCAGCTCAAGTCTGGGACAATACAGCTCACATTAGCACTAAAACCTGCACCACTTACTGTATCTTTTTACAACCACAATTGCTTTCATAAATGCACTCATAAAGATAACCTGACATATATTTCTTAACATGATTTAATACGACTTGTGCATAATTATGACTGTAAAACATTTAGCTGATAACAGTGTTATCGCATTCTGTCCACATGTCTGCTATTCACATGCATTACAGACAATCACCAACAATGCACCTGTCATTCAAAAACAATTCGGAAGAGGTGCATGCATACCTAAGCCCTTCGAACACAACATGCACACAAGGACAAGCCTACCTTGCCTTGATCACATTTGTTTTTGTTTGGCAGAGAATAAAGAATGTTTTTAGCATTATAATATAATCCGGTATTTGTACTCACACATGGGCAAGGCTTCACTGCGTCGCTTGGAAAGAAGCCAACATCCTTAGTTGCCAGGACTTTACCCTGAAACCATGGCAAGATAATTACATTATGTTCAGCTGGGCAACTCCTCCTCAATAATTCAGTAACAATTAGTACTTAACACAAGTCACGACACGCTACAAATTTACAGCAGAGTTCATCAGAGCTGAAAAAGTCTTGGGAGAATACAGGAAGAGTACCAGGAGAATGAGTGTAACAGTGTAATACATCCAGCAGTGTTAAACTGCTTTCACTCCTTTACCTTTTTGTAGAAACAATGATACCATTCAAACATTTGTGGTAAGATTTTTTTTTTAGTAGTTCACTTTAAAAAAAAAAAAAAACTTTTGCTGATAATTTACTCACCCCCATGTTATCCAAAATATCCATGTCTTTCTTTCTTCAGTCGAAAAGAAATTAAGGTTTTTGATGAAAACATTCCAGCATTTTTCTCCATATAATGGACTTCAATGAGAACCAAATGGTTCAAGGTCCAAAAGACAGTTTCAGTGCAAACTGCAAACTGTTCAAAGGGCTTTAAACGATTTCAGACGATGAATAAGGGTCTTATCAAGCGAAATTCAACTAACAAAATGAACGAGTTGACTGGAAAAGATTCGTTCATTTTTTGTTCATCGTTCACCAAATGATACGAAAAAAAGATTCGTTCATTTTGATAAACGAGTTCGAACTGGAGAGTCACGAATGCGCATCACAGAACAGAGCTTGGCCCTTTGAACAGTTTGGTTCCCATTGAAGTCCATTATGTTATGTGGAGAAAAATCCTGGAATGTTTTCATCAAAAACCTTAATTTCTTTTCGACTGAAGAAAGAATGACATGGATATCTTGGATGACATGGGGGTGAGTAAATTATCAGCAAAAGTTTTTTCAAAAGTGAACTACTCCTTTAATACAAAGATGCATTAAATTGATCAAAAGTGATTACAGTGAAGACATTTACAATGTTACAAAAGATTGCTTTGCTAAATTTAATAAATACTGTTAATTGAAAAATAGTCAAAGAATCCTGAGAAAAGAATCACAATTTCGTCTTAAAAAAAATAATATTTTCAAGATTGATAATAATAAGAAATGTCTCTTGAGCAGCAAATCCACATATTAGAATGATTTCTAGCGGATCATGTGACACTGAAGACTGGAGTAATGATCTTTTTATTTATTTAGTATCTTAACTTTAAATTAAAATGATTTTATTTTTGTATGGTTTAAGTTTTAGTTTAGTTACGTTTGTTCTAATTGACAAATCATTTATACACAGACACTTCAAGAATGACCTCAAATAAAACGATCAACCGATACAGCCGGCGCTGATGTAACAACAACTGATGGTTCTCCTGCCGGTAACGCTCGGATCTTTCCCTTCCTCCTCCTCCTCCTCCTCCTCAGACAGTCTTCCAGGGAGATGTAGAGAGTGCATTTCTGTCTCATCTACCTCTTCCTTGAACAAATTTGATTTGTAAGTGGATCCTTAAGCGCACCCCCTCCCCTCCCCAATGCATTTAGCGCATTGACATTTTATCAGCACTCTCGTGATGCCGCCCCACTATTGGTTGTTGCTCAGATAAGGGCCTAATAATGATTAAACTCATAACCCTGTTAGATCAAACAGATGGCAACCAAAGGCCCAAATGGAATTACAGTGAATGATTGCGTTTGTCTAGGCACCAGAGCGGGCAATAATTGTCTCCGGGTTACCACAGCTACGAGGGCTCTGATCGCCCTTTGCTCCGTCCGGAGCTGCCGCGGGATGCGGGATATTACGAGGTCTCAGGTGACACGGGCGGTGTAATTTTGCATGAGCTCAAATTGAATAAGTCAAACAACTTCCGGGTGCACGGGACAGCTGGGCGTTCGGAGCCTGCAGCGGATGGCGGTCTTAGAATGAGGCAGAACGAGATTAACATGTTAAAACTGAGCTGTGGAGAAGCGTCCTGGACAGCTGGACCTGTCTGACGGAGAGGGATGTAGGGGCATTCGAGTGTGTGCCAGGCTCTGCCAATTCTCTGGCTCTCTAGACAATCATTGGCTGGTTTCCTCATTGCCTTGGCACATGAATAACCAGAGAAAGAAGAGTGCATGTTCTTTTGTTGCCCATCCCAGAAGAACATTTTAAGGCTCAAAAGTTGCTCTTTCTTAAGAAACATAATAACTCAATTGCTTCAAATTTTGAAGTATCAACTTTTTCTCAGGTGTGCCTCCTTAAGACAGATCATTTCAATCTGATTTTAGGGATAAGTTATGGGTAGGGTTAGGATAAAGACAGGGTTAGGACTTCCAGGGTCAACAAAATATATTGATCCAGGAACACGTCTTACTTGGCAAAATCACGGTGACCGGAGACTTTAATAGGACAGTTTCTAATGAGAAAAATCAGCAGGAGACTTGGACCCCATCCCAAATGGCCCATGTGCCCTTAAAGTCCATGATGCAGTAGCGTGTCACACTTTTTGGTCTACGCAGCATTATGTCATCAATGAGTGACATTAGGTGCGACATTTATTGACTTACTTTAATTTTTTTTTACTATACCAAAAAATATTAAAAAAAAACTTAACAAAAAACTTACAAAAAAAAATAAAAATATTACAAAAAACTGAAAATATTAAGGGGAAAAGTTATAGCCAAAGAACTGCCATAAACTATAAGCTAAGTGCATATTTCTTGTAAAACTTTAAAAAGCAGAATAGGGGAAAAGGTTCATAGCAAAGTGATTAGCATTGCACTCCAAGAAAGAGTTAATCATTAATCTAAATCTATTTGTGTGAATTTCTATTGTGTGGCTCATGCCAGAGAACTGCATGTGCAGAAACACCTCCTATACAATTAAAACGTGACAAATTAAACCTGTCGTCGAGCGCGTGTCTGCTCTATGGGCGTTGTGCTGTTTTGGTACGGCTATGAAACCTAACCCACAACAGCTTTCTTGTGTTGAAAAAAGGGTTGGATTAGTTAGCATTTCACAGTCAGTCACGCTTAGCAAAGCATAACAACACAGTCGCTCGGCCTTTGTCACAAACACAAGAGGCAATCAATTAGCAGCTGAACGTCGTTCCTGCAGGGCTGCATGACTTAAAAAGTTTATGATGAGCGAGTAAAACTGTCTCACCTTCCACCAAGAGCTGCGGATGTTCGCCTCCATCACTTCAACAACGTCACCAACGTTGATTTTAAGCGGTGGGCCGTACGGGGGGCTCGGAACACAATAATAATTACGGATGACCTGCATCTTAGGTAGATCTAGGGGTAAAAAAAACAAACAGAAAAATGGTTAAAATAACGCATTTGTGTGTTCATCTATATTGCGAACGAGCATGCTGAACTTTGACAGTGTCATTACTGCATGCTCTGACATTCCGGCACATAAAGAACAGGTTTATGTACATGACGCGGTGATCGTAAATCACAACAGGTGAGAGAAAAATCAAGTCAATCCATCATAAAAATGCCAGTAGGCTCATGTTTTGTCTCGAGCGTTCGTGTCGTCATGCAGGCAGAGCATTCATGCAGACCGTCTAGCAGCATCCTGCATTTAAAACCGTAGCTGGTCATGTTTGTGAAATTCCTAGATCACTTTAGTGTGTCATATACAAAATAAAAATGAAATAAAAAACATTTAAGTATTAATATTACTAAAGTAAAACTGAAATAAGTATAAATTAAAGCAGAATATGAATAAAAAACTAGAAAAAAAGTTAGATGAGACAAACTTTAAGTTGGCTTGAGAAAGCCGGATCAGAGAGTTTGAAGAAGTTTAAAGAAGTTTGATAGATGGATTAGTTAGAAAGAAAGATTAGGTAGAAAGATAATTAAATAATAGATAGATAGAAAGATTAGTTTTAATGAAAGAAAGATTAGTTAGAAAGAAAGATTAGTTAGAAAGAACGATTTGTTAGAAAGATAGATTAGTTAGAAAGAAAAAACAGATTAGTTAGAAAGAAAGAAAGATTAGTTAGATAGAAAGATATGAAGAGTTCAGATGCAAAAGCCTCTAAATGCCATTTGAAATTTTCTTCTATAATGATCATTTTTATCAAGCTTTTATATTTAAGTTCAGTAATTTCACTTAAATGGCAATGATAATTACCTATTAATTGTTATTTAAGTGAAATTACTGAACTTAAATATACAAGTTTGATAAAAATCATCATTAAAGAAGAAAATTTCAAATGGCATTTAGAGGCTTTTGCATCTGAACTCTTCATATAAAGAAATAAAAACTAGTTAGAAAGAAAGATAGATAGATAGATAGATAGATAGATAGATAGATAGATAGATAGATAGATAGATAGATAGATAGATAGATAGATAGATAGATAGATAGATAGATAGATAGATAGATAGATAGATAATTAGTACACATAGAATGGTAGTTTAATTGAGTCTAGGGCTTCAGGGAGTTTAGATTTGAGTTGTTGTGTTGTTCACCACTGGGCCACCGTAGCCTTGGCTTAATTTGACCATGCTGCAATGAAAGTCAATGGGATTTTTATGGTTTTTAATATTAATTTTTAAGAAATCTGAAAGTCGAATCAGTCTAAAAAGATAGCCAACAAAGTCAAAACAGTCTGAAGGTCTGACCCGAGTTTGTAGAGTTAAAACTCTAGGAGGAGTTAGAGTCAGAAAATCTAAAATAAGTTTAAATACAATTTCAGTAAGTTGGCTTTCTCAAGCCAACTTAATTATAAAAAAGACAAAAGCACTTAAAATAAAAGCTAATTCAAAATGTTAATAAAATGTCTCTCCACAAACAGGCTTTTTTTTAAATGGCTTTTTTCTGCCATTTTTTTATGAATTGAATACCAAAGCAAAAATGTTAATAAACAGTGCTATCAGCAGATGCAATTTATTCTAATGGCCGTGAAACACCATCGGCCATCGTCAGGCCATCAGTGAGCGCCTGTTAGGCTAGGTTTTAGGTTTTGCGGTCCACATGTCGGCTGTTGTCAGGCATTCAGCATGTTGAATCACCATCTGTGACTTTAGTGAAAGCGATCGCTCTGATTGGCTGAACGAGTCCAATAACAGCGAAGTGATGAAAACGAGCAAAGACGACACAGTCAGAATGCTGTTCTAATTTTACGCCATCTTACATTAGCATTCCAAAATGCAAATATTTTCATAACAACATAAGCCGCCTCGAATGAAGAAAGCAATCAGCATTATTGATATTCAAATTGGTAAGCAAGCTGCTTTGTTTACGGTTTGTATACATGCAGTCGGTTTCTCTTTTTGAATGACAAAAATAGACGATTGATACCTGCCGACATAGACAGTTATACGTGCACAAGTAGGTGCCTAACACATGTGCTAGTTGGCAGTCAGCTGCAGTCTTTGCTGTGGGTTCAAGTACAGCTTTTTGGCCGCGAGGTGACAACACATCGCCGCTTGTTCTTGTTCTTTGTCGTCTGCTTGTTGTGTCACAGACTTTAGCAAATTCCCCCCCAGAGTGTGTACAAAGACAAGCTGACCACAAACATCAGCTGTGCAGTCTGGCTATTACCCTAATTACTATTAAATCACATTTTTATTCGTTCAAGTAATTGCACGCACAGGTTTCGTGCTGCGGGGAGAACTGTGCCGATCGGACAGCCGTTCAGACGCTCCAGTGAGCTATGAATGAGTGTGTTTGTGTTCACAGGGCTGGTTTGCTGAAGGGTCAATAGTGATGGTCTCAGCTGGTTGCTGCAGCTCTATATATTCTGCCGTTCTGATGATGAGAGGCGAGTGTAGACTCTCTTAATGCAACCAGCTGTGGCTGAAGCCTTCCAGCCCAGCGGATCACCCAAGACCCTGAGCCTCCAAGCGCGGCGGGCTGTCTTTGAAGACGCTTTAAAGAACAGCGTGAGCTTGTGCTTCTCTGCAGGGAAGCGTCTTGCTGGCATGCTAAGCTAAGAACCTTTGTGCACAAGGGCAAAGAGTCAGCGCCAATAAACACTAAAATGCATTTTTGCATCAAAACAGCTCACAAGAGGTCGCCTGAATGTGCCAAAAGAAACAAGTTTACTGCAGTGTTTACAGTGTGAAAGAGCTCACTTAGTTAGTAACAACACACCTCTTCTCAAAAACCAGCACTATTTTGAAATATCATTTATGCACAAAGATATGACTGCACATGAAACAACAAATTCAAATTCATTGTTTTTTAGAAAGGCTGTTTCTGATGAAGATAAATCAAGCAGCGCTGAACAGGCAGGTACTTTAATTCAAACGGAGAGACCCCAATATTGTCTGGGATCAGGAGGCGTCTCACGGCTCCACGCAGACAGGGTGACTCTAAAGAGATATAATGAACTCAGCAGAGGGTGTATCGGGATTGTGGGGGTGAGGAACAACGACTTTTGTCGACAATTTAGCTTGATTCCCCCGTTTATTTTAAAAATTCATGAAGCTATTAAAAATAAGGGTGAGGGAGGTGCGTCGCTCCATCAGCATGCAGACCTTCAGTCACTCCCCTGACATCTGAAACTGTATCCCAGGTGGACATTTATCACCTCTTGGGTATCGATCAAACTATCAATGGCGCTGTGAAAACATAATTAAAGATAATGTGGCCCTCTTTATGACAGACTAATGGGTAGAACGACTGCTGCTGAACAGATTGAACATCTAGTTGAGGTGGTTTAAGTCGTCTATCTCAGTGATTCCCAACTGGTACATTGAGTGGGTCGCGTGTATAGTCAACAAAAACGTATTTAAAAATGTTTTTCTGATGCAAGATTTTTATTTTGAAAGACGTGAATGAAAGATGTTGCAAAGACTTGGCTATTCTGTCAAACAGAACGCGTTTTCCCATTGCAATTCTCTCCATTTTTACTGTACTGTATGTGTGCTAGATGGATGGGTTTGACCGCTATGATTGCATCTTTTGCAGTGTCTCGTCGTGCACGACCTACCTACCTTAATTTAAATTAGGTATTTTAAAATGAAATGTAAAAGTAATGTACATTTAAAAAAAAAAAACATAATTTCCACCCTGGTTAAAAGGCTAACTTGGGGTCATATTTCGATCAAAAGGTGTTTCTGTAAAAACGTTAAAACACCCATTGTCACGCATCAGTTGACACCAGACCATGATGTATTTGGGAGCGGTTATTAGTTCATGAAAGACTGAGGAGGTACTCAAACCAATCAGATGAATAAAAGAAAAGATTCCTTAATTTATATGGCATAAATTCTATTCTGTGCAGGCCTAAACTACCTATGAAAACATAGTTTAGACTGAGGGTCAGGTAAGCTCACACTTCTGAACTGAAGAAACTCTCCACAGCTTAAGACACCTACATAATACAATTAAACTGAGTGAACATTTACTGGGAGATATGGGTTAAGTATTGGGTCTATCTATGCTAGCAAATGGAGCAACAGTGGTTCAATGTCTTTACACATTGTGTTTCCCACTTATATCTGATTTACATCTGACACTAAACTCTAGTTACGTGTATGGGCTTGCCTTTACAACAAACGTCAACACTACGGCTCAGTGACTACTAAGAATACGCAATCTGGCTCAGATTGAAGAAGTAAGTATTAATGTACAAGACTATGCATGTTTTGTAAGCATGATCGCTTACAGTATGAAACCCCAAAGCCATAGCAATGAGGAACTTACAAATGTCAATGTTCACCTAAAATTCAATCATTATATGCATTAACATTTAAGGGGATAGCTCATCCAAAAAATGAAAGTGTTGTCATCATTTCTTAAGTGTTGTCAACCCAAAAGAAGATATTTTGAAGAATATTGGTAACCAGACAGTTGACGGTAGCCATTGTCTTCCATAGTATTGAATGTAAGTCAATGGCCACCGTCAACTGTCTTGGTAACCAATGTTCTTCAAAATATTTTCTTCTGTGTTCAACACTCATACGAGTTTGGAACAACATGAGAGTGAGTAAATTATGAATTTAAATTTTTGGGTGAAATATCACTTTAACATGTCATTCCAAACCTGAATGATTGTCTTGTTTTGTAAATCACAAAAGGAGAATTTTGAAGAATGTTGGTGTCCATAGTGACCACATCTTGTACTGTATCCTTTTGTGATCCACTGACAACAATAACAACATTCTGGTTAGTCATGTTTGGTTGAAAAACATATTCTTTAAAGAATGCAAAATGTGACTTATTGTATTAGTGTTTGTGATTTACCTGCATCTTCTCCACGACAAGGTTTTTTTCCGATCTGTAATGACAGTACATAAATCACATGAATTATTCTGTTGCCACTCACAGACATTGCAATGCATTAATGACTTGATAATTAAGTAAATCTCATCACTAATTTGGACAAGTAAACACTGTTTGTCACACCACTGCACAAAACACGTTCATCCTGTAACCTATGCACAAAGAATGGAGAATGGAGAATTTCCTCAATACAATTTACCATCAGTGTTGAACTGCACTCTGGGCAAATTGCATGTCAATATCCTTATTACATGCTATATAAATTACATTGGGTTTGTTATTGCAAAATGATGACTGTGGTGCTGTGTTGCAAGCGATGCAATTAATAAAACTGGTGTGCAATTAAATAAATGCAAGATTCCATAACATATATATCATTCTGCAATGAACTCTGGGCAAGAAACAATTGCATAGTTTCCCCATAACTAGTGCATCAAACTTTAATAAAGTAATATTTCAATAACAATTCCATGAAAAATGCTGCGGCTACTCTAAAGTGCATTGTAAAAGAGAATTTTCTATTAAATTTTAAATTGTGTTCAATAGGAGTAAATGAGGTCCTGCAGGGAAGACGTACATCACATATTCACTTAAAAAAGGAATTATTATAACAAAAAAACAAACAAAAAAAACCTCACCTGTGATCCGAAAGAGCTGGAATCTGCAAGCATGTTGAAGACAGGCATGGTTAGAGTGAGTTTACACATTCAGATAAACACACTGTACAGACGCTGTCATTAGAGTGTGTGGAACACGGTGTGCTGTGAGCATTTATGATTTGTTTTGCTACACTGCAGGTACTTAACAGCTGCCCGAGTTATGCACCAGGAGCAACTCTCATTGGCTCCCGAGGGAGAGGCTGGGCCTGTACTTAGGGTGTACATTGTGAACTTTGTCCTGTTGCACTAGCGAACACCTCAAGAGCGAGTAACACACACACAGAGGCATAGACGCAGGCGTGCATATAAAAACATAGGGTGGAATCTTGTGTACAAAACAACAACAAGGTCAGACTTGACAAACACACACATTGTTTAAACACAAAAACATAAAAACTTGTTTACATTAAGAGTGAAAAAAATAAACTATGAAAGTTTGATCTATTTTCACTGTAAAATTTCAGACACTGAAAATGAAATTAGTGTGAAAAGTTACATGCAGAGGGTGTGTGTTTGTCAAGTCTGGCCTCTTTGTTGTTTTGTCCACAAGATTCAACTCTGTGTTTGTACGTACATGCCTCTGTGTGTGTTACTCTTGGATTTAATATAATGACTAAATTAATCAATTAATTGAATAAATTCCACCATCCCTGCTTGCATGTTGAAAAACAAAGATTTAATAAAAATGGCAACCAATCATATAGAAAATGTAAATATCTGTTGTGGTAAAGGTTGAACATTTCTACATAAAATAATCTGATCTGTGGCCTAGCGCCCTAAAAGACAAATGCGGTACAGCAGAATCTCACATCGTCCTTTCTGTGATAAGTAAGTGAATCCGTTTTGTTTTTTGTTTGTGTTTTGTTTTCCATTTTCTCTGCATATTTTGTTTTATTTTCATTGCTAGCTTAATTCACAATCAAATTAGCTAATAGGACATGGGATGAGCAGAACTGATGGGAGTTTAGAGAGAGCTCAGCTGTACTAAAAGCGTGAACAAGGAAATTCTATGGAAGCCTGACTAATGCGTAAAACAATAAGAAGTGGCACTGTTGGCAGGCACACACGCACATGCATACATCATGAGTTCAGGAACCCAACCAAGCCTGTTTGTCTGTTTGTCATCAGACATCACACGCTTATCTATGTGGCCTAGGTTAGATTATTAGAAATCTCTGCATGTTGACAGCTTTTATTGCCCTGTCAGTTACACTACAGTGTACTGTAGGTCAAACATTAGTGTGCAGCGAGGTAAGACGACATCACATAACATTGAAACATGAGCCAGAGGCTCCATCGCAGCTCTGTAAATAGATGATTCATAATGTGCATGCACAGAAATTGCTAGAAAGTGTTTGTTGTGGGGGCTCACCGGCACTGCTTTTGACACAGACATCCACCCTGCCGAGACACTCCTTATGAGCGCCAGCACCACATTTGGAGCAGCGGTAGCCTTGATAGAAGACTCCTCTAGATAGACAGACAGACAGACAGGTAGACAGGTAGACAGATAGACAGATAGACAGATAGATAGATAGATAGATACATAGATAGACATACAGACAGACAGACAGATAGATAGATAGATAGATAGATAGATAGATAGATAGATAGATAGATAGATAGATAGATAGATAGATAGATAGATAGATAGATAGATAGATAGATAGATAGATAGATAGATAGATAGACAGACAGACAGACAGACAGACAGACAGACAGGTAGACAGGTAGACAGATAGACAGACAGACAGACAGACAGACAGACAGACAGACAGACAGACAGACAGATAGATAGATAGATAGATAGATAGATAGATAGATAGATAGATAGATAGATAGATAGATAGATAGATAGATAGATAGATAGACTTGTATTAACATCTTTAACTTCTTTTATTAACACCATTATTTACATTCCATTTCAAACCTATTCAGGAATTATCTACATGTGATTGGGCCAAGCCCACATACTCTGCTCTGATTGGCCCATCATCTGAGATGGTCCTCATTGCAAAACACGAAATCCACCTTACATATACCTGATCCTACCCATCTCCACCCCTTTGATCTGGATCCAACTCCGCCCCCTGGATCTCATGTAATGCAATGAGGTGCTACTGCATCATCTGCCAATTCATCCTCTCTGACATCAGCGAATTTATGATTATCCATACACACACCCTTGATTTACCACTGTCTTTCCCTCTCTCGCTTACTCTATGAGCAATATCGATCACATTAAGCTCAATAGTGGGTATACTGTGTCATTTCACAAAGATTTAGCTATGAGCTCACCTCAGCAGCATTTCACACGAGCTGCAGGATGTGGTCGTCTCAAAGGTGTGCATGCGGAACTCATGGAAATTACTTTTCCCGCTCTCTGGACAGATGTTCGATCTGTTGAGAGAGAGAAAGTGGGTGTTAAAAATAAGACTGGAGACTTTGCATAACGTTACTCGTGAACATAGAACCGCTTGTCTGCTTCCCCCATCCAATCAGCTGTAATTGCCTCTTAAAACACGTAAGGGTAACATACGGTAGATATTTGTATTTTCTGGAGAATTTGTTTTTTTAACGACGACTACTCAATAACAAAAAGCTTTTTAACCAGATCTCTGAATGTACTGCATAACACATAACAAAATTAACAAAATTAACAAAATGATATTCTAACTAAAGACCTGTTTATTATTATGTAGAATGAGCTAATGCGATAGTGTTGCTGTCTTAGCATGCACCACTAATTACAGCATCAGTAGGGCAGGAGTCATGATGTCGTCTTTGGCTCTATTACTGTTTTATAGTCCAAGACCCTCCACCCGCTTTCTGTTTCTCTTCCTCGATCCATCTTGAATAACCCTTGAGCAGTGAGTGCCCTCATAATAAAGGCATTAATGGATGACGGACAGATGAGAGAGCCGTCTTTGCTAGCTGATGTCATATCATTAGGCTCGGAGTATGTAACAGCACTGATATCCAATCAGCTTTCAGCTGCCGACCGATCTGATGACACATGACAGAGAGAGAGAGAGCACTGACTCACCACTGTTCGCCAGAATTAATGAGCCCTTCAGATAAATCTGTTAAAAACGTGTTATCTAATTAATCAGAGCCCTGTCTCCTGTCTTTGGTGCATTACACTATTTTTCTCCTGTCTTATTCAAATCTTTTTCTTTTTTCATGGATGTCCCTTTTTTGGATATATATGACGTTTGAAATTTGGTACAGTAGATCACTTGTCTCATGGTTTATTGCGTTTTTCATCTGCATTATACTGATTGTTGCTGTCATCTGCCAGGAATTATAAATATATTTTCTCTCATTCTCTTTTTTCTCATAGGTATGCTGTGGGATCACTTATTGCCTTAGTATTCATAATACAAAGATTTACTTGTATCTCTGACTCTCCTAAGAATAGTGAATGGAATCAACTTAAAGTAAAAGAAGATAAAAAGCCTCTGTTTTTGTCTTTTTTCAAAGAAAACAGAATTGATCTTGCTTCTTTGAAATAAAACAGTTTGATGTACTAGAAATTTTCTAATGAGTAATATGTCTGAAGCCACCCCTTAAATAAAAAAAAATCAAAACAGAATCATTATTACCCAGAAAAAAAAGATATTTTGAACAATGTGGGCAACAAAAGTTTTTTTCAAGTAGTTTTTTTTTTTCTTTTCCATATTATGGAAGTCAATGGCTATCATCAACTGTTTGGTTACCAGCATTCTTTAAAATATCTAAAAGAAATAATGCCATAATTTTAATTTAAGGGGGGGGGCTATACCTTTAAAGTACAGTACTTTAACAAAATTAGCTTGTTTAAAGCGCCCCTTTGTGCTTTTTCGTATATTATGTGTAATATAGTAGCACTTCGTAAATGTAAAAAGACAGTTTCAAAGATCGAAGTGTATGGTAAAATTGAAATGTTGTCTCTAAAAAGAAAGAACCAATTCTGAATTGCCATAAAACAAGTCGTCAGTAATTCGAGCACAAATTTAAATATGTTTGTAACAAATTTGCATAATGCCAGCCTATGGTCTTCATTGGCTGCCAGTGAACAATGTCTACATTGACCCGCCCACAAACACTGTAGTTGTAGGCCTGAAAAAGTTGTTCATGTTATCAACATGCCAAGAAGACGCTGTTGACATGATGACAGTGAGTAAATAACAGAATTGAATATTTTCAGAGAGCTATTCTTGTAAGCATTAGAGAAAAAAATGGTCAGGCAAAGCTAATTTACAGTAGGACATTAGTGGACTTTAGTTCCAGTCTATATCTAAAATAATGCAGACCATATCTTCTTAAAAACACCCAAACTTACAGAAAGAAAAGGAAAAAGTACCTGGCATATTACTTCAGTCTATCTGCAAAACTGAACCAACCACTGTGAGAGAATGAAAACCCTTTGGGTCACATTATGTTTTATAAGGTACACCACTGCAAAAATGCTTGGGTAAGCAAGTCTGTCCTCATTATTGTGTTTGTTTTGTAGTAAAAATATACACTAATGGTGTTTTAGTCCTGAATCAGGGCCAGGACATACTGTCATAGCTAAATCATCTCTTTGCGTCTGTTGTCAAGGCAGATAACAAACCTGAAAAACAGCACAGTGCAGACCTTCAGAGGTCATACTGTAACACACACACACACACACTCACAATGCCATGCCAAACTGCTCCAGCCATTTCTTCTTTAACTCCTTGGTTTTGAAGAAGAACTCAAAGCCGCTCTGACCCTGGTTGTGTGTGAGGTAGAATCCGTGGCACCACTGGAAGAGACAGAGAATGCAAGAACAGCCATGTTATGAATGCAAAACACACACATACACAGAGATGAAGCGAAAGCCGTTTGATTCGAAACATCAAAGATGATCTAACAAGTATGAGAGTACAAAGCATGATGGTGTGAGGGGGTCACTGTTGTTTATGCAAGACTGACGAAATGCTACAGTCAAATCTAGCTGGATCACCCTGTTTTCGTCTGCTGGCACTGAGCTGACAATTACATCATATCTCAAGTGATGCAGAACAAATGGAATGACAGTGTGGACAGTCAGGTTCAAAACACAAATCTTTTGTTTATTTGCGTGAACAACTGTATAATGCAGTTTAATAAGCAGTTACGTATCCGAACACGTGTTATGAAATAAATAAAAGTGAGTGTTTTAATGCAGACACTATGCTGTGTGGGGATTTTAGTGTGTTGCTAAGGTGTTCTGTTTGGTTTCTAGGGTGATTGCCCAAGTATCATGATTTTCATATCCAGATATTATGTACACTACTATTCAAAAGATAGGTTGGTAAGATTTTTACATGTTTTACAGTAAAGACAGTAGCTTTGTGAAATATTACTATAATTAAAACAACAACTCGGAATTACTTTATAATATTTGGTCCCAAATATTTATATTAAGTGGCTTTAAGTACTATGTACTTACATTGAAAAATAAGTACAATGTATTGTAAAACACTTTTGCTGCTATTGAGGTGTGATCTGGGTAAGGTTAGGGATAGGTGTGGTGGTATGGGTAGGTTTAAGGGTAGGTTAAAGTGTAAGGGATGGGTCCGCTGTGTAATTACAGATGTAATTACATAAATTAGTTACAGCTGTAATTACATGCTGGTATTTTAAAAATATAAGTACAATGTAAAAACATGTATATACACAATAAGTCCATTGTAGCAAATTATTCGTTTCAATGAAAGTACATAGTACTTAAAGCCACTTAATATAAAGTGGGACCGTTATTCAATCACCCACTTAACATTATGGAATTGAGTCAAAAAAAATTGTGAGTGTTCAGGAGGCAAACTTAAGAAAAGTAGCCAAGTCTTGTACCGCTCAGATCAAGGGAAGTATTTTTTAAAAATAAATGAAAACCATTTTGCCCACATTTTGTCCAGAATATGGTTTTAGGGTTAAAAGAATAGCATGATTAAATTATTAATAATTAAATTATCTTAAATGAACTCAAAAAAATCAGACAATTTGAGTGTAGCACAAAGATTGTTTAAATTGCTAACTGCAAGCATGAGAAAAAGTAATAGTGATGTTTACATCGCATGTTTAAAACAGCAGCTCCATTTCTCAGTGAAACTCTTGTACATGTAATATCTACAGAATTATCTGGCAAAGCAGGATGTAATATATAGTAACAAACAACATCGTGTTTTCTAATTTAGCCGTGTCTGGTGTCGGCTGCGTTCGTTAGCAGTCGCTAGACGGTTTTTAATAGAAAACACCATCTGTGCGAATGAAAGCTGCTCTACTGCAGTAACTGATCATGGCACAGCAGCATAACGGCACATTTGCTGCCCTCGGCTTTGGAGCCGCGAACTTTGGAGGCAATTAGGAGACCGGCTGCACACCTTTCGGTTTTCTCTTTCTGAGGTCGGGTTGTTGGTGATCTTGAAGGAGTGGAGGTCAATCACCTCCTTCATCTCATAGTTATCTCCTCGTCGTTTGCATACGATCACGGCGGCGTCGAACAGAAAGATGTGCCTGCAGCAGAAAAAAGGCAAACATCAAAAAGAGAAAGAAAATGAAAGAGTATAGTGGCCGAGGATGACACCTTCATAACCCTTAGGCCTTAGTAAAGACTTGTGGAGTTTCAGGCTGAGCAGTATTCCACTCTTTAATCATCTCACCTGTCTTGTTTGGCTCGTTTGTCGACTGAAGCTACTCGCACTTCGCTGTCACCTTTCGGTCTCCCATAAATACGGAGAGACTGATTCTGCAGAACACAGGATTGAAGCAAACTCAATGCTTGTACACTGCTAGGGGTTCTTGAGTTAGATGTTTGTTTCTCCACAAATCTGTTTAAAGACTCATATCGTCTCTGCTGAGGAGTAACTTACTAAAAGTAGGCATGCAAATCAGTGCTGTTTTAGTAGTCTGACACCATCTCTGCTGTTTCTAAAATAGTTCAGCTTTTCTAGTAACTTGCAATTGCTTTCCACCAAACGGTTCAAGGTCCAAAAGACAGTTTCAGTGCAGCTTCAAAGGGCTTTAAACGACACCAGACGACGAATGAGGGTCTTATCTACACTGTAAAAAATAACTGTGATTTTAACGGTAAAATACTGTAAAAATGCTACAGTGCAAAACTGTTAATTGGTAAACAGAAAGTTTCCATACTATACACGGTACATAACTGTGATATAATTTTACAGTAAAATACCGTTAAATTTACAGTTTTAGAAAGTGAAAAAGAACAAATCATTGTATAATTTACAGTGAAAAAATGTAAATTGACATTCCCACAATTCCCTGAGTGACACTTCACATTTTATGTATTTTTGTTGAAATAACTATGGTTCCTCATAGTTTTATTGGGTTTTTTTTCTAATCAGTTATGTACATTAGGGTTATATGTTACATTTAATGTTGTTAAATTAATGTTTATTACATTTTTTTAATTTCATGTGTGTTACCATGATGGTGCTTAATGTTTGTGTGAATGACATTGTGCAGCTTCTTTAATTAAGTATTGCTTTATACAAGTATTCACTTGTGATGAGCTGTGATTGCTTATGTAACTCTCATCAATGATTGATGGTTGTCAGTATATTACAATGGTCTAAAACAGATATCAATACATCAATAAGTTGGTAAATCCACATTTTATCAGAAAATAAATTACGGTTTATTACTGTAAATTTTAAGTTAAGTCTTTAAAACCATTAACGTTCCTACCGTATTTTTAACGGTAAAGTTCTGGCAACCACAGCTGCCGTTTTTTTACCGTAAAATTTACGGTTTATTTTTTACAGTGTAGCGAAATGATCGCTCATTTAAAAATAAAAAAGTTTTATAAGCACAAATGCTCGCCTTGCTCTGTTCTGTGATGATGAGCATTCGTGACTCTCCTGTTCAAACTCGTTCATCAAAATTAACAATTTTTTTTTTCCGAGTCATGACTCGAAGGGTCCTAGATAAGACCCTTATTCATCGTCTGGTGTCGTTTAAAGCCCTTTGAAGCTGCACTGAAACTCTCATTTGGACCTTGAACTGTTTGGTTCCCAATGAAGTTCATTATATGGAGAAAATACTGGAAAGTTTTCATCAAAAACCTTAATTTCTTTTGTCGACTGATGAAAGAAAGACATGGACATCTTGGATGACATGGGGGTGAGTAAATTATCAGCAAATTTTTTTTTTTAAAGTGAACTACTCCTTTAATTTTGTTAAATGTACTATTTTTGTTTTAAAAAATCTGACCTCATATGTACCTCAATATAAAATAAGAATCATGCAAAATAAAATGCTGTTTCAGAGGCAGTAGACTCTTGCATGAGATAGCATGGTATTGGGTGTAAATGATCTTGTCCCAGTGAATACTGAGGTCTTTTAAGCTTATCATGTAGCTAGATCCTTGATCAAAAGTGTAGTTTGACTATAGTAGTTTCCCTAGCACTGCTTTTTAAATGATGATTCATATGTGATTCATATGAAGCGTGTGATTTAGCTCACAAGGTTTTCAATAGATTTCTGGTACTGGTCGATGTCTCGTAGAGTCTCGATGTCTCTCTTCACCTCGTTAACATACTGGGCCAGATCCTGAGGAGAACAAAGCAGAAAGCAAAACAAAACACCTTAACATTCATCATGCTTAGACTTTGACCTGCATACAAACAAGGAAATCTTTCTATCCGTGACCTAAAAATAACCATATTTACTCGCCAGCTTCCTTATTGAGAACATCGCCCCATGTGATGTTTTCAAGGCAACTCATTTCCGTCTAAAAATGCTAAATAAGATTTAGCGTCTGAAAGGCGAGGCTTATTTGACAAATCTCATTGCGAACGCAGTGCCCGCCGTTCCCGCGAGTGGAGTATAGCGACTCATTCATCATGTCGTATCTAGAATGATCAGAGAGTGGGGGGCTGCTCGCCCACCGTGAGGATCTTAAAGGGGAGCACTTGAGGAGGTTAACCGCGTTAGCCCGATACCCCAATCAATGCTAAGTGGCTAATTTATCCAAATGAAATCATCGCAGCCCTCGGTGCAATCTGCAAAATCTTCTCAGCTTGATTTGCCGCAATTAACGGACGCTTACCTGTCAAGATGCATTCGGCACCATCTCGATCATGTCTGAGTCAAGAGGGCCACATTGATTTTCAACGAAAGCTTTTCACACGAAAAAGTTGATGTGTGCCAACGCAAAATAAATAGCTAGAGAATGAAATTAGTCACTGTTGTCATTTCAAATTGTACCAGGCTTCTAATATCACAGAAAGATGGGTGATTAAAAGCCTGTTGGTATAAATTATACAATGACGGGGAGCTAAATGCGTGCATGAGAGCAGATAACAAGGTTGGGTGAAGACTGTAGGAAGCCTCATTTGTCATTTTATGGTTCAAGTGAGCGCTCACACTGCTGCAGACTTCTCAGTGGACCACCACCCAGAAGTCAAGGCAACAGGACGCTTATGAAAAGGACTTAACCCACCTTCATGGCGTCCAGCGCTTGCCGTAAATTACTCTTGTCGGAGGCATCATGGGTGTGTTTCACCAGTTCCTGTCAGGAAGGAAGAGAGATATGAGCTGGTGTTCACGGCCCGTGTCTCAGTGTCTTATTATCACCCAGATGATGATGAACACAGCAGACAGTCAGATGTACAGGAGCGAAGCCGAGCCGGAGGACATCTGTCACTTTCACACGCTCTCATAACTCCTACTTAATAACCGTGCACATTGTTTACCAACATTATAGGAAGAACATTTAGCTATAAGTCATCTAAAATGCATTCGGAAACACTTTAGGTTTTTTCACTGAAGCAGAAATCATTTTGACCCTGATACAAAGACACCAATAAAAAAAAAAAATGTATTACAAGAATATACAAGGTGATTATGAGGCAAGCGTTAGAATACAATAAGCACATACAGCACTCCCTCATACACACACATCCAGATGCGCACACACAAGCTGAAATAATATCCGACCGGCATCGCAGGTTCAAGAATTGAAATGAGAAGCAAAAGGTTTTTGTGGGGTTGAAATTGCCTTCCTGCTCCGGGATGAAGTAAACAAGACATCTGGGCCAGTCTGTAGGATAAGGGAGGGTGCTATGAATGTCCTTTACTCGGGTCTGATAAATGCCTTCCTTTTGGCCTAAGAGATATATTGCCATCCAGCACAAGCCAAATCCCCTGCGTCAGTCAAGCTGAACCTGTGCATTATTATCAGCAGAAAGACGGACATCACCTTATTTTTCATTCTCGCTTCCTTCTGCCCTCACACAGCGAAAGAGAGCGAGATAGAGACAGAAAGGAGGTGTGACACTAACACAGAGATTACAGCAGAAATAAAACGCAGCCAATCTCTTATCCAAACGTTTGCAGAATATCATTCAAACGTCATTTCACAGAGCAGCATCGCGGTGTTGTAAAGTCTGGCCCACTTGCACCTTTTAATGTCAAACTATTGCCCAAATTCGGCTCAAATTTTGCCGCATCACTAACATTCGCTCATCGCCATCTTCTTGTTGCTTTGTTTCGGTGAACCGATGCCAAAAATATGACCACTTTAAAGTGATATTTATTGGCTTAGTTGGAACAATTTCTTTACTTTAACTTTTTATCTAAATATAATGTATAGTTATAGTTTTACTTCCTAATTCATGAACACTACTTTGACGTATTTACACAATTACAGAAAATCGTTTCAGAAACACTTTACTTGAAGGGGTGTGGATAAGACTGACATGACACCTTCATAACCATAACATGACATGTCCTGAGTATGCTTTCGCTCAATAATGACATTTTGAATGCAAATATGACATTAAGATGTCGTTGTTATGAAATCTTGACATAAACCATTACATCATAACCTGTCAGTGTCTTTGTCATGACAACTTGACATTAAATTAACTTAAGCTGTCATGTGCTTGGCTTCGACATTGGCTGTCATGATGCATTATAACTGTGTCCTGAATATTTTCGTGACTTGGTACTAATTGAATTTGTCATTAAAATGTTATAATGGCTTCATGATGTTAAAACCAACCTGACAGTTAATGTAATGTTAACCAATTAGATTCGATTATTTATGAATTCTTTTTTAATATAACTCATTCTGTAAAGCTGGTTTGCTCTTTCTCTCATCGGCCAAGGTTTTCTCCAGCAGAGCAAAGAGCAGAGAAAGACAGTCTGTCACACGCAAGCCTGCTCTCCAGAGGGGCAGCAGACAGACAGACGCTATCTGCACACACACACACACACACACACCCTAAACCAACAGCTGGCCAGATGGGCAGGGATGTGAACTGAGCTGTGGACAGCCATGCGGGCATGCAAAGAAGACGCTTACACACACACACTCAGAAAACACCTTCGCTGTTCTGTCCGCTGAAGGATTGTGGTGACTTCAGTCCACACACGCTATGTACCTCTCTCTACTTTCCTTTTTCTCTCTTGCCTTCATTCACATTTCTTTCTAAATCCCCTCATCGCTGGGTCATGCAGTAGACCTAACGTGTGATGGACAGAGACACACTATGAAATATTCATGCCAAGCTGCGTGAGGTGTTTATGGAATAGGGCCAGACCAAAACACACAGGACTGGGTGAAGCTTGCCGCTTCTCCATTATGTGGATAATACTGCCTCTACTGGAGGAAAGTGGAATATATTACACTGCACTGCCTCTACTGGTGGATTTCAAATTCATGGATTATGCTGCTTCTCGGTAAAGACAGACACCACTGCCCCTGGTGGACATTAGTAGTAAAGCAGTCATTTAAAGACAACATAACACCTAATAGAACTGACCCTATTTCTTCTATAAGAGCACATTAATCAGTGCATACTATGATAAATGTTTTAGACTCTTTAATTAAAATAACAATAATATTAACAATTTCTCCACCTCTGAAATTACTTTCCTTCTATCAAAAACAATATCTGATGGGCTAAGAAAATATGACTAATATATTTATTATTCTATATAGTACTGTGCCAAAATATACAAATATTAAACTATATTGTTTTTATTTTTATATTTCCATATTCATTGTATTTTAGTTAAAGCTTTATTAAATTTGTTTGTTTATTTATTTATATGATATATATTTTATAAAGCAGCAAAAATGTTTTTATGGTTTTAGATTAAAATTAGGGCTGTGCAAATATGTCCAAAATAAATTATGTCCAAAATAAAAATTTGTGTTTACATAATATATGCGTGTGTCCTGTGTATAGTTATTTTGTAAATATAAATACACACACATGCATGTATATATTTAAGAAAATGTGTTATTCATATATAAAATATTTATATTTATATATAATATAGATTATGTATTTTTATATATATATACAGCATTTACGTGCAAATAATTCTTGAATATATATATATATATATATGCATGCATATGCATTTATATATACAAAATAACTATAGACAGCACACACAGATTTATTATCTAAACACAAACTTTTGTTTTGGACGCGATTAATCGCAATTAATCTTTGCACAGCCCTATTTAAAATATATTTTAACTATAATATGCATTAACTGAAATTAAACAAAGTATATTTTAAAAAACTTGTTGTCCCATTTTCATTTAATTTTACTTGAAGTACTAAAATAACATACCCCTGCGTGTGTGTGTGTGTGTGTGTGTGTGTGTGTGTGTGTGTGAATAATTTAATATCCTATCATGTTGAATTGTTCTAATCAAATACAACATTATAATAAAAAACGTCACAGTATAGACATTATGGCATGTTATGCTGCAAAGTACTTATTGGAGACAGTTAAAACATGATGGTGTGGGAGCAGGAATACAGTAAAATAATTTCAAACCTGTAAAAGCAGATGATATTTCAGAACTCTCTGCATCGGAACAACTAGCAGATCTCTCAGAGTAAACTTCCCATTGTTGGCTCGTTTGGAACATAACTGAAAACAATGAAAAGAGCCAATTATTACAATAAAATGTTCCGACATGTTTTGTACTATTTTTAACCACCAGATGGCAGTGTCTAGCAGCAAATAAATTAAACAAGTTTTGGTAGTGAAAAATAAAAACTACTTTCATAAATCATTTCTTCCCAGCATGCTGTACAAAGGCTCTAAATTATGTCACTTACTTATGTTAACTTTCAGTTAAAGGACAATAACAAAGATTTGTGCTACCGTATTCATGGAAAGTGGCAGAGACATGTTTGATGAACACAGTCTGACAATACCTTACCTCTAACATCTGCCGGACGTCCTCTCTGTTCTTACAGATGTCATCCAAACACGCAATGGCTGTTTCTACGTGACTGCAGTATTTCCCATACAGGACTAATCTATCACATAGAAAAACAGACACGTGTGAGAAGAGCAAGCAGGGTTTCATTTCTTAAACAGCTAAAGAGAATAAACGGATCACCTTTCTTTGTACTTTATAAAGATCTGGTGCAGGTTACTGGCGTTATGCATAAGCACTGAATCCTGAATCTCCCTCAGAAGACTTGTGTGCACTTTCACAAGATCCTGTTGGAATGGAGAACATGAAAATACAGCGTGGGGCGATGACACACAGATTCAAGCTCAAATCTGTTCTCCATTAGAGAAGGTTTTGTGACTCACTGGTATATTGATGAACACTTTTTCAATATCCACACCAGACAGCGACTGTCCCAGAGGCTTCATAAAGAACTGAAAATAATAATGAAATATAAAGATCAAGAAGCTGATGTGGGCAAAGCTAATACACAATAACTAGGGTTGTATACTGCAGTGACTACAATGGAAATGTTGTATATTCATAGTCAGTTTTTAAATAAATAAAAACAATAGCAATAAAACTACAGTATATTGCAATATAATGACTATTTGAACCATTGTGGAAATTTACCATGGTTTTACTATATTAAATATAACAGAAATGTGTATTTTCATACTAAGATTGAAAAAAATTGTGAATTTAGCATGATTTTATTAAACTGCAGTAACTACAGTGGATATGTTGTATATTCGTACAAAGATTTAAAATCAATCAATCAATCAAATAACCGATAAAAACTATATTGGAACATAATGATTATCAATGTGGAAATTTACATTGGTTTTATAGTATGTGTATTGTCATACTGAGACGTAAAATAAATTAAATGAAATAAATTGAATGAAAAATAAATAAATAAATAGCAATATTAATGATAAATAAATTATAGTCTATAAGATTAATAGTTTAAAAAATGTGTGGCTACTATTTTCAATAGTTCAAAAGCATAGGCTATTTTCAGATTTTTTTCTATCATTTTCTTTCCTTTAATAAATAATAAGGATAATAAATAATAACTGATAAGAATAAATAAATTGTATAAAATAAAATACTTTTTTATTTAAACTTTATATTAGCATTAGTTATCGTTTATAAGCGTGTTTAAGTTACTATTTTTAGTTTCAAAAGCACAGATTATTATAGATAATTTGATGATAATGGTGGCTTAGTCATCAGAGGGAAATTGTAACAAAAACTCTAGTGGTAGCAACTAGGTCAAATTTTGTATGGTAAGTTACATTGATCTAAACGTGGTAAAAAAAAAATAAATAATGAATTCATTGTTTTTCCTGTAGTTATTATGTTCTTAATAATAATACCAAAGCCAATAATGCGTTCCATTTCACTTATCAGACACTTGTCAGATGTCACACATTACAACAACCTGACTGCATGTGCTCACTTTCTCTATGGAGTCCAGCGTCTCTGTGTATTTCTCCTCAGTCTGTCGGATTTCCATTAGACAGCAGCTCCTGATGTCCGTCTCGGCCTGTTTCTGTAACAAGCAGAGAGAGAGTGAGACTTAAACAAACTTAAACATGTTTACTTGTAAAACCATATTTGTCAGCTCACCTGTGGTTGTACCACCTCGACCTTCATCAGGTCTTCATACACCTCTCCAGCCTCATCATCATCATTATACACACAGTCATAGAGATCTTCCTCATCTTCAACACCATTTTCACTGAGACACACAGACAGACCCATCAACATTCAGTGTTTCTCCAAATGGTTAAGTTTGGTACATAAATGTTTTGGCTGCAAATGGACAGCACAATGTGTTCAAATTCTTCAGGAGAAAAAGACCTCTTCTCGCAATTGCTCATGATGGGTTTAAAGCGATAATGTTTCCCTCGTCTAAATTAAACACATGTTTTCAGCTACGACGAAAAAGACATTATAGCTGAGTCAGGCCTTAAAATCACTCAAATACGTTCTCCAGATGGGCACAAAAGAGAGAGAAACTGCGTTGATCTGTTTTCCTAACCATGTCTGTAGTTTGAATCTATTACGAAACGCCTTCAAGAAAAAAAGTCTCTTTCTGACAGGGACAAAATCGTACTGGCACATCGCCCTCCAGGGAAAAGCACTCGGCAAATGCGTTTCATATGAACAAACCATCACATGAGGAAAACAACACTCTGCTAGAGGGCCTTGTGTGTGAATGTGTGTTTAAGAAACAGATGTGATGAGGTGGAGCCAAAACACAGTGACAGCAACATCAATATTTGCTACGCATAATATCAAATCCGCGAGCATGTCATATGAGGAGAGCAGACGTTTCTGCTGAGGCTTCGTGTTGCCAACGGCCTGACTACGGCATGGTTACTCAGTACAATCCTATATTTCTTCAGAAGCAGTGATGTTATCATTAACTAAAACTGAAACTAACAGACTGATTACATTTTTATAAAAAAATAAAATCCCATACGTAGTTACGGTGACAACCGAATTTAATTTAACAGCATAACATTCTGACAAATCTGACATTTAAAGACTATATACGGTTTTGAAGCTTATTTCCACCACTGAATAAAACATAACAAAATGCAATTATGTCTTTATATCTCACAATTCAGAGTTTATAACTCGCAATAGCGGGTTTATATCTCACAATTCTGAGAAAAAAGTCAGAATTGCAAATTATAAACTTGCAATTGCGACAAAAAATAAGTCAGGATTGGGAGCAAATTTGTATCTTGAAATTCTGACTATTCGTGCAATTCCAAGTTTATATCTAGCAATTCTAAGTTTATTTCTTGCAATTTTGCAACTTTTTTTTAGATATAAACTAGGAATAGAGAGGAAAAATTTGCAATGAGAAAGGTAATTGTGACTTTTTAGGACTTTTTTTCCATGCAATTTTGAGTTTATATCACAATTATATCACCATTTTGTCTTTCAATTGTGAGTTTATAACTTGCAATTCTGACCTTTTTCTCTGAATTTTGAGATATAAAGTAAGTTATAAGTTATAAAGTCAGAATTGTGAGATATAAGCATAATTAACTTGTTTTTATTACATTGTGAAAAAAAACTTCCATAATTATATAAGATCCTAACTGAAAAAAGATCTCTTTATGTGTTAACAACACTTAGTAAAAGTTGGCAAAAGTCATATTTTGCACATGAGGATCTGAGGATATCTATAGGAGCATAGTATGTGTGTTATGCCATGACTCAACATGTTAACATCAACCTAAGTACTCCAGCCTGAGGCTCCTATATCTCTCCTAACCTATTACCGTACAGTGAGCTGAAGGTTAAAATATCATCTTGTTTCCGCAGAGGAAGACGAGCAATGTAAGCAAAAAAAAAAATGACTCACTCTATCAGATCCTCTAGGTGGTTATAGATGTCTTCGTCCTCAACACTCTCTTCTGTGGGAAATGGCCTGGAATAGAAAGAGAGAGAGAACGTATTCATTTTCATTTGCACTCGTAAAATAGTTCTAATTTTTCATTTCTTTTTTTTTTATTATGTACTGTACCTTATTCCAGTCTGCTGTGCAATGTGTGTATGAGAGAGTTTGGACAGTGTGTCCATAACCTAAGAAGAAAAAGACACGAATACTCATTATTTATTAAGTAAGGGATAATATAAAAACAAACGGTCATTATTGCATGTACTCTACTTAAAAACACATGAAATATTGATTTGAGCTTAAATTATTATTATTATTTTTTTGCAAGAGAGGAAAGTTTAGCCAATGTTTGACCAATCCAAATTAAGCTGTATGTGTGTGTGTGCATTAGTTCATATGCATTAATGTGTACACGCCTTTCATTTAAAACATTATTATTATAAAAACCCTGACAAGTATTATATAATGAAATATGTTTGTAAATGTTAAAGGGGTAGTTCACTTTTGAAAAAACTTTTGCTGATAATTTACTCACCCCCATGTCATCCAAGATGTCCTTGTCATTCTTTCTTCAATCGAAAAGAAATTAAGGTTTTTGATGAACACATTCCAGGATTTTCTCCATATAATGGACTTCAATGGAACCCAAACGGTTTAAGGTCCAAAAGACACTTTCAGTACAAACTAAAAACTGTTCAAAGGGCTTTAAACCATTCCAGACGATGAATAAGGGTCTAATCAAGCGAAACGATCGCTCATTTAATAAATAAATAACAAAGTTTAAGTTTTATGAACTCATATGGTCACCTTGCTCTGTTTTGTGACGCACATTTGTGACTCTCCTGTTCGAACTCGTTCATCAAAATGAACGAATCTTTTTCAGAGTCATTTGGTTCATTCAACGAACGAAACGAATGAATTGACTCGGAAAAAGATTCGTTCATGTTGATAAACGAGTTCGAACAGGAGAGTCACGAACGTGCATCACTTAAACGTAACTTTTTTTTAAATGAGCGATCGTTTCGCTTGATAAGACCGAGATATTCATCGTCTGGAATCATTTAAAGCCCTTTGAAGAGTTTGCAGTTTGTACTGAAAGTGTCTTTTGGACCTTGAACCGTTTGGTTCCCACTTAAGTGCATTATATGGAGAAAAATGCTGGAATTTCGTTTCGACTGAAGAAAGAAAGACATGGACATCTTGGATGACATGGGGGTGAGGAAATTATCAGCAAAAGTTTTTTCAAAACTGAGCTGCCCCTTTAATTATGAAGTTCAGTTTCAGTTCAGTTTAGTTTATTTATCCCTTAGGAAATTGGTTTTGCACAGGTGCTACACATCACAAAACGCACATGGACTTACACGAAACAAAAGGAACACACATGGTTACAGACTATTCAGCATTAAAATAGCAGTTGGTATGAATGAGTTCTTAAACCTCCCAGTTCTCCCCCCCATTACTCTATATCTGCGGCCAGATGGAAGGATAACAAACTCTTTATGCAATGGATGTGATGGGCAATTGGTTATTGAAAAAGCTTTTTTGGCAACTCGTTTTTTAAAAGATAGTGTTTCCAATAAAGAACACAAAATCTTCAAAACAGAAATAACAGCACTGCAACATTAGGACCAGCAGGGGTCAGTGTGCATCAACATTTCAATGCCGTTCAGGTTTACATGCACAATCAGCCTCTGACATAAAAAAATATGAAAGATTCATCCAAATGTTTTTGTGCTACACATTCACCAAGAGTGTTCACCTCTCTGATCTTCCACAGAGCTGCTTATGAGCGCTGAATAATCAACATATCAATGCCAGATTTTACAGTCAGGTCATGAACAATTTTTGCACAGGTGTCCATTCAAATGCATACAAACAAAAACAAGGTCAAACAAATATATGCACAACGAATTAATACCAAAATGTAAAAAAAAAAAAAAAAAAACTATTTATGGAGATTTAGCACATATGTGGTTTGAGCATTCGAACCCGTTAGCGCCTGGGGAAGATGTGTTCAGAAATCAATTGCAATCACACCAGCTCAGCTTTACTCTGCTGTGTGCATGACAACTGAATTACATCATGAATACAGAGCACACAGAGTGAAGCAACTGTCAATCCATGCACGCTACTCTGACCGCTTTTACTGAAAGATGCTCATCCTGTCTAAGATTCAGTCTTGCAAAGAGATCTGATCCAATGCATTTATTTGATCTTATGTGCAACCAATAATTCATCCGCATTGTTGGAGGTAGAGCGGTTAAGTCAGTTTGTGAATGAAGGCTTGCAATTTTTTGGGGGAAACCTAAAAAACCTTGATGTAAGGACTTACTTTGTAGTTCCCATAAGAAGACGCTAAGATGAAGGCACTAAATGATATCGTCAGTGGTTTTCTTTCTTCAGTGGAACACAAAAGGAGAAGTTCAACAGAAAGCAGAAACTGTTCCTTTTGTTTAGAATGAAAGGGAATGGAGAATTGCTGACCAAACTTTCAAGCTAAAAAAATAAATAAAAAGACAAAAAGTACCATAAAAGCACCATAAAAGTCCATAATAAGTCATATGGACTGTACTTTTATGGTTTTTGGTGAATGACAGACCCTCATCACCGTTCGCTTTCATTGCATGAAAAAGAGCAGCACGAACATCCTGTCTAACATTTCTTTTTGTGTTTACGTGGGTAAAAATCGTAAAGGATTGATACAATTAAATGATAAATGTGTTTGATTTTCTGTAACCTCACTAACCCAAACTACACGTTGGCTGAGTATGAAGCTGGCTGTCTATCTGTTGGTTATACCGTATGCTGCGTTTGGGAAATCTCAGCTGGGATTTCCACCCTCCCACCCTCATATCAGCACCTCGCTATATTGTAACACTTCAAAACGTAAATCACATGATTTGCATTACAGTAAGTTCCACCTAGTTTGGTTAATAAACATGCTGTAAATGTAGTGTTTTGTGCTTTAGACACATCAGCGCTGATAAAAGACAAACATGCAGACACAGGAAATTATAATACAGTTAAAAGAGATGAATGGTTTGTCTGGCTTCCTGTTCAGGCGAGGAGCTGTACACTACGGTTCAGACAAATAGAGAAAATCTCAAAGGTGCAAGTGTTCATTCTGTACACGGATCTCTGTCTCTCATAAAAACCGGCACAGCACAGAATAGGAAGACCAAAAATGGAGCTGGTGCAAACTAAGCAAAAGGCTACTTTCACTTTCAAGGGGTTACAGAGCATCAGGCCATGTCTCGGCATTGCAAAAATAGCACAGAGCTTTTTGTACATGACACAAAATTACAAGCTTTCTAAGTGTTCTAGGGAAAATTAAGTGCATGACATTATGCATTTAGAAAAGGGAAGGTGCACTGAGAGTTCAAGAAAAGCCCCTTTATTTCCAGGATCTGATTAGGGCTTACATAACCGGTTAAAGGAGAGGAAAGGGTGGAAACCGTTTCTAACAGGTGGCGTGCTTCAAAGACCCCCTGTAAACACAGTAAAAGTGAGTTGGTGGATCCATGACCTTAGACTGTTTCCCATTCCAACAACAATGGGAATGTTTCTCTCTCTGTGAATGTTGAGAGGATTGTCTCTGAAGAAGATTGTTACCATTTCTCAAAAAAAAAAAAATGTGCCGAGATGAAAGTTTGCAGGTTGGTTTGTAGATGCATTCACTGAAGTGACAGCAATAAGATTTCGGTATGACTCTTAAGTGTGCTCAGTGAATCTGCTCGAGTCTGGTTTCATATTCTAAAATAACATTGCGGCCTTTCTCCTATTCATAATTTAATACATAAAAATTGAATGAGAAAAAGAAAATACAGAACTTTTAAATATACTGCTCATGATTTGTCTGAAAATAACTAAATAATACACTCTAAAAAATGCTGGGTTGTTTCAACCCAAATTTGGGTCAAATATGGACCAACCCAATACAAGTGTTGGGTTAAAAATGCAATAAAAAAATGTAGACTTGAAAGTGAAAATTCAAGTTGGGTTAAAATTTTAAATTACATCAACCCAACATTTGGATTTGTCCATATTTTACCCAAATTTGGATTAAAACAACCCAGCATTGTTTAGAGTGTATATATTCTAACATAATATAGATTAAAAAACAGTTAAATATAAAGATAAAATAACAAATATATTTTTGTTTGTATCATCTGTACACGCATTATATTTTATATATGTAATTAATTAATATATATTTATATATATATAGTATAATAGTAGTATAATATAATATAGTATATATATATAGTGTAATAAAAATTAATAAACAGAACTTTATTTACATAATTAATGTAAAAATACAAAATTAGAATTGAATTTGGTTTCTCTATTTTAATGTAATGTTTATTTTAACCAGGAACATGTGACGACATCATGCAATTGGGGCATGCATTTACATTTGATTTATTAAAAACAAAAACAAAAACTTTGCCTCCTCATTTCAGAACACAACTGCACGCCCCTGATATATAGTAGTTGGAAAATAGTTCTTGGAAAATCTTGCTCACAATGCCAGATTTGCTGACGCAAGTTAAACAAAGTGGACTGAAAGTTTAAGAACATTTCAACCGTAATTAACGCACATTAAGGAAATGCAGTCTCTGCTGCAGAATCGCCGGCACCAGGTCCAGGGACTTCCAGGGAGATCCATCTGATTAAAACGTACATACGTCAGCCTCTTTTTCCATGAAAGGAGGTGCTCAACCTTCAGAAAATGTGGACTGTCGACATTAGAAAGCCTGAATGTTATGTTATTATTTTAGGACATTATCCGGGACATGTCTAAATACAGTTTGATTTGTGTGACTGTTTTAAAAATTAAATAAACATCTATTTGAAACAAAGTTATGTTTAAAACTAGCTAGTTTTTCATTTCAAAAACAAATTTGACCCTATTTGTGGAAAGCGCCACCCATATCATCTCCCATCTATCATCAAACTGCAAGAGCACGTTTCCTGTCAGTCTCATCTTGTCTTTATCTGTCTTAATCTATCCGCTGTCCTTTAATGTCTCAAGTACAGAGCATGACACAGATAAACTATTCAGATAGATGGCATCAACAGGCCACATACACGGTCCTTGGCAAGATACGCGTATACCAATGCCAGGTGTACACACACACACCGGATACACAAGTACAAACAGTTTCATATTTACTGGACAGTC